GCTTTGACAGAATGTAAACACCTCCCTTCAGCAGTGCCATATTTCATTAGCACAAACCTCCCTTTCAGTTCTCATGGGACTACACCAGCTCACTTCCCCATCCCAAATACCTGAAGCCCCCCTCCCCGTTACTATGGCAGCCGATAGCAAGCATGCTGAAGAAACCCATGCTGGAGATCCGGCTGATATTTGGCCCTCCTGCAACAGGGTGTTCTGACCCAACCAGGTTCCCAAAGAGCAAACACAGACAAAGGCAGCAGCCCCCACCTTTTAAGGTTTAATAATGAATTCTGTTCTGAAGGCTGCTTTCCACTAATTAGCTCTGACAAGAAGGAGCCTTGCCAGGTTGTTTGTCAAGGCTGCCAAAAACCCAGAGATAAAATTAATTTACAAGATTTCTCCAAACACGAACTAAGATGTCCACCAGTTGAGCTTAAGAGCTTCTTTGCTATCTGCAAAGAACACTTTTCCAAACCTGGCTTTTATCCTCTTGAGGGAGGGGCCATTACCTTGCAGCCTTACTCCCGAGTCACCTCTGCTGCTGTAATTGTTCTTTCCTCCGAGCAATCCTTCGTGCACGTGCACTTGGCACAGGCTCCTTGGGAACCTCCTGATCACTGCTGCCAACCCCCACAATCTCTGAAGGCAGCAGTCCACTCCCTGATGGTCCTGGCTCTTCATCAGAGTCCTCGCTCTTCTCAGCCATCTGCACCTGCTGCCGGCTAACCACAACACAGGGGCATTAGCTCTGTAAAAGAAGGAAATGCAAAATGCAAACTAACACATATAGTCCAACAGAACCACAGTGTAAACATTAGGGTTTATTGGGATATTTCCTATGAAACACTTGAAACAGTGTTGGGCCCCGAATGTTTCAACCGTCCATCCATTCAGATTGTGAAGGCGGGGAATGTTTCCAAGCAACCAGGTATTGCTGTTTCCCATTCCATTTTCTAGAATCAAGAATTTCTTTGACTTCAAAGTGTTGCTCTCTTTCTATAAGGAGGGGGTACCAGAGTGGCAGGCTCTGTAGGCCGAAGGGGAGGTACTTTGTCAAGCTTGAGTGAGTAAACTGACATGAAACACAGGGTGGATCTGTCTAAAGTTTTTTGGCAGCTCTAATTGCACAGTAACCAGGTTAATGATTCTGACTATGGAGAAAGTCATAGATACTTAGGTCCCAATTTCTTTGATTTTTGGGTAGTTTTGTAAGTATTTTGTGGATAGATACACCTTATCCCCTACTTGGAATTATTTCAGTTTGACCTTCTTTTTATCAGCCTGCTTCTTATGGGTCTGATGTGCCTTATCCAGCACGTTACATGTGACTGGCCAAGTGTGTTGCAATTGTTTGATCCACTCCACTAAGGAGGGGAATCAGAGGCTTCTCCTGAGGTAGTTCTGGTATGGGAACTAAACAACTTTGAATCAGGTGAAGCCAGGGGTGGGATTCAATTTTTTTAACAACCAGTTCTGTGGGTTTGGTGGGCGTTGGCTTGGTGATCATGTTACTGGATGGGCGTAGCCAACTCGGCATCACTCACATCGAGGGGCGCTTCTCGCCTGGACTCTTTTGACCATGGGAATGCTGCAACGGTTGTAAGTGTGAAAAAGAGTCATAGGTCACTTTTTTCAGTGAATGAACAAATGAACTGTTGTAAGGCAAGGATTATCTGTACAAAAATACAAAAAGCTTCTTTGCTTGCAAGAAGCTGCCCTAAATACCAATCATTAGATTAAAAATACCTGCAAGCCAGAGTTACAAATCAGGCAGGGTGCCAGAGCACCTTGAGGAATTAAAATAGTTAAAAAGCGATGATAGCTATCAACAGCCAACTATTCCTCATAAAGCAGAAAGGTCATTTGAGCTCTCCAGAAAGAGCACACCCAGGAGAAGCAATCCTTAGATCCATTTGCACCACTTTAAGACACCAGCTGGTCTCACTCACCTCACAAGATATCCTAAGGAAATCATCCAGATTTGAGGAAAGGTCACATGCCCCTCAGAAAGGCAGTAAAAATCAGTGCCAAGCTTGCATCCTGCCTCTTGAAAGTATACCCCAAAAGGACAGTGTTGTGGCCCACCTGCAGCTGACGGAGCTGGTAGCAGAGTCAGACAGTAGTGAGAAGGTTGGGGAGGAACCTGGGCCGGGTCTGGAGGTTGAGGTTGAGGAAGATCCGGAGGAGGGCGCTACATCAGAGGCAGAGATGGGGCCAGGGCAGGCTAGCAGTCAGCAGCTGTCAGCAGTCTCAGACAGCAGTGAGGTGGGGAAGCTTATGGAACAGGTTCCCAGCCTGGGCATGTGCAGAGGTAGCCACATCACTAGTATTGGCCTGGACCACAAACAGGTCATCCGTTTTGGGATGTTTAAATACGGGTTTGGCCACAAACAGCCCTTTGAGCTTTTCAAAGGCTGCTTGGCATTCCATGGTCCACTCAAGGGGTTGACTAGGCTTAAGCTTGGATTCTCCTTTAGTTTTCAAAAGGTTAGTGATGGGTAATGCAATATTAGCAAAAGAAGGAATGAACTGCCTATAAATATCTGCAAAACCCATGAAACTCTGCAATTGCTTTCTAGTGCGAGGGGGTGACTGCTCGTACTTTTTCAGGGTCCATCTGTATCCCCTCATGCAAAATGCGACAGCCCAGGTAGTCACTCTTGTCCTGGTGAAACTCACACTTGGATAATTTAGCATACCTCCCTTCAGCAGTGCCATATTTCATGAGCGCAAACCACCATTTCAGTTCTCATAGGACTACACCAGCTCACTTCCCCATCCCAAATACTAAGCCTCCCCCCCCCCCCCCGTTACTATGGCAGACAATAACAAGCACGCTGAAGAACCCATGTTGGAGATCTGGCTAACACATGCATATATACATGCATATCTGTATCTGGATTGGATAACAGTAGTTTTCATGTATCCTAGTAACACTGAAAGACCATAAAATGAGGGCAAAGAAAAATACTCTGTATTTCATAGAATGCACTGTCCAGGAGGATGTGTTCTTTTGAGACGAAGTCTCCATGGAACCACAAGAGCAAATTCTCTTACATCATGGATTTTTTTCATATAATTTTCCAAATAGAACCACTATTGGTAAGCTTTACCTGTATAATCTGCTGGGTCCAGGGAACAGTTGCTTCTGTTCAAATACTTAGAAACAATGACTCATTTAATTTTTGCTTTGTATAATTTATTCTTAATATTGGCTGTGGTGGTGCCAAAAATATCCCTAAAGACATAGCATTCAGTTGGAGCCAGTTTTCAAAAGGCAACTCCAGGAAACTCTTAAATTCCCACCAGTCTAACTCCAGAAAGGTTTAAGTTTAGTGTTAGCCAGTAACAAATCATCTATCAACCAACTAACCAAACCTGTCCATCAACTTTATTTTAAAAGCCAAATAAAAAACAGTTGGAAATGTGGAAAATTGCATTTAGACTAATTCTAAAAGTATACAGATTTGCATTAGATCTTTAGTTTCAAAAGCTTCATGGCTACCGGATTAAATGTTGAAGAGAAGAAAAAAGCCTAGAATTATTTCAGTATTGCACTAGGTGTTTTAGGTTACAAATGTGGCATGCTTTTTGAAGGACCCAGTACTGTGAAAAATACCTCCAGAAGTTCAAAACTTCAAATTTGTTCAATCTCAATCCATCAATGTACAATTAGTACTTTTAGGTCTTTCATTTTCTGATCTCAGTGTTGAATAAAATGTCCCAGATAGCAAGGGCTGTGGTGCTCATATGTCTGTCCAGGATCAGATTATTCTCATATTGTAAAATTGCTAGTTATTTGTCCACATTTTAGGTGAGTAGAGATACTGGCCTGTAGGTTGTTTAGTGAAGGAGTAGAAGTTAAACTATAAAGGAACCAAAATTCACTTTTATTTTATATCTTCCAATCTTGGAGTTGAGCCCTATTAATATTTAATATTTATAAAGGATGTAATCAATCACTATGCCTTTTCTTTGCTATGCTATGTAAAGTAGAGTCTGACTACCAGTGAGAAGGCAAGAACAAATATGGTTTTTGAATCTGTTCTGTAAATTGAATAATAGATCAAAAATCATTTTTGGGCAGCATAGTAAGCAATGCATACATACCCATAATGCTGTCCCCAAAGTGCTTTTTCAAAAGGCAACTAGACTTTGTTTTTTTCCTTGAAGACATTTCACTTCTCATCCAAGAAGCTTCTTTAGCTTTGACCAAATGGTGGGGGATGGAAGGATTAATCATCTTTGCAGTTATCTGCTCCTTAGCATTCTTTCTGAGAATCATTGAGGCCACTTGAAGGTCTATCTGTATCCTTGGAGTCACCTGAATAATGCTAATGGGTATGGAGCCTTCTTGGAACTACTTGAAAAGGATTGTATTGTAAATAAGTGATACGTGGTTTGTATCCCTCCCCCCTGTGTACTAATCCTTTTTCTTATGTTCAGGGTTGCTTTGTCCTCGTCTAAATAGTGTTCTTACACAGCTCTTGTGAGAGGTTGGGTTATTAACTTTAGTAGTGGAGTATTTGGTTGGTGTGAGTGGTTTTTCAATAGACTTGACTTTAAGTATCCATTCTTCCTTACTTTTGTAATTCCTTTTTACAACATCATTAATTATTTGAGCAAAGGATATCCTTTCTATATATTTTAATTAGAGAGCAATACTTTCTCAGGGCATCTTCATTGAGTATTTATCATACTCAGGTTGTGAAAAATTACTGGTTTTGGCTTTCTAATAAATTACATTAGTAAGTTAGCTGCAAATTTATGACCTGGCTTCTGAAGAAATTATGTTCAACTGAAGAATGGGCCATAGATACTTCATTTTTTTTGAAATTATGTTCAAATAAATTTGAACAAGTTACTAATCTTAGATTAGTTATTGTCCTTTCTATTCATAAACAGTTAATGTCATCCCTTAGATTAGAACATTTCTCCATAATTATAGATCTGTGGGCTTGTAAATAAAAATATTAATGAGTGTCCACTTTTTATTTTAGATTCATTGGTTTTCAATCTTCAACTCCTTTATGATGGTTATTTTCCTGGTGGGCTTAGTTTCTATGATTTTAATGAGGACTCTGAGGAAAGATTATGCACGATATAGTAAAGAAGAAGAAATGGATGATATGGTAAAAACTATGTTTTTATATTCACTCTTAAATGTATATCTGTTCAGTCTATGAGAAAGCCTAGATGCAGAAAGCTTGAATGTGTTAGATATGGAGTCCAACGTGATAAATTAATGTGACCAGTTCTATAAGTTCAGAGTATCCTAAGCATAAAAATTGTAAGTATTTTTAATAACTTAATGATTTAAAAATCTTTTCTGACAGGATGTTATTTTTAAAGTTTATCTCAGTACATGGGATCTATACTTTTGGTTGTTATTTTTAAAATAACAGATAACAGATAATCAGAATTGGAAGGGACCTTGTAGGTAATCTAGTCCACCACCCCCGCCCAAGCGGGAGACCCTACACCATTTCTGACAGATGGCAGTCTAATCTCTTCTTGAAAGTCTCAACTGATGCCGCTCCCACAACTTCCAAGGGCAAGCTGTTCCATTGGTTGATTGTTCTCACTTTCAGAAAGTTTCTCCTTATTTCCAGGTTAAATCTCTCCTTGTTCAGTTTCCATCCATTATTCCTTGTCTGGCCTACAGGCGCTTTAGAAAATAGCTTGGCCCCTTCCTCCCTGTGGCAGCCCCTCAAATATTGGAAGACCACTATCATGTCTCCCCTGGTCCTTCTCTTTACTAGACTAGCCAAGCCCAGTTCCTGCAACCGTTCGTTGTATGTTTTAGCTTCCAGTCCCCTAATCATCCTGGTTGCTCTGTCATATGCTTAATATATCATATGCTTAATATATGCAATACTTTAATTAGAATAGTATTCTCACAACAAATAATTTTTAAGAGTTTTAAGGTAAAGCAGATTTTGAGATCCACCTATTTGGCAAAGAAGGTGGATAAATATTCATATATCATTATTTGGTTTTTTTTAACCATGCCATGGTAAAAAATTGGAAAAAAATATCTTTTCTTCAAGACTTGATCCACTGATCTATGTCTGGGGCCAAATTGATTACATTCATTGGACAGCTGATTTACGTAACTAGTTAGGCCAGTTGCCTATTTAATAAGGTATTATCTGATAGAGTCTATCCTTTTCAAAAAATATATTTCTTTGTTAGGGATTGAATTTGAGACATTTGACTTGTACAACAGGCAATATACTATTGACACACAGATGCCTCCAAATTCTCTAGCCAGCATAAGAGTCCCTAACTCCTCCATATCTAAAACCTTTTTGCATTTAAGTTTCGTGTGTATGCATTCAACCATCTAATGAAACATAGACAATTAAGTCTGTGTTTAAACCTAAATTAGAGGCTAAATTTGGGGTCTAGAGATAATAAGAAAATGACTAACAAATTTTTCATTTGCAGATATGAGAGATATAATAACATGACATTTTATAATATTTGTGCTTTACATTTTTTCTGGTTTCTTTGTAACTACATTGTTTGAACTAGTTATTTTCCTTAACAAAGAATTCAGATTCCTCCACTAATACAATGAAGTAATAAAAAATATTGCAGAAGATTATCTGGACTTGGATTTTCTTTTAGAGCAAGGGTTCATAATTCTTAATCTCCAAATCATTGTGTATTGTTCCAAATCTCATTTAAAAATTGCAACTAAGAAAATAAAATAAGTTTTATTTGAGGAATAATCATATGAAATATGTTTACTTACATTTTGAATCAAATTTAATTTTAGTCTTGATTCTGTCCAATTGTAGCTTCTGAAAGGAATCAATTTCAACCTGAAAATATGTATGTATTCCTAATTTAAAAAAATAATGTGAAGCCCACATATAAAAATGTCAGGTTAAATTTTTACTTATTGTGCACTGTTCATCAATAGGGAATAGCCTAATTTGGGGCTGGTATACAGTTTAAATGGCTTTGACATAAAGGTAGGAAGATTCAAAATGATTTTATTGTCAAAACATACTGATATATACTGCAAGCATGAAGAACTTAATACAGTTTTGTGCATCCTCTTGCATGTGTTTTCTACAGTAGTAGCAACATGGGTTAGTGCTCCCTTCCCCATCACCAGTATCTCTCCAAAAAATGTCACTGATGTAGTGATTGCAAGTTGTTGATCAGAGATTATCCTAAGCTATTGACCAAAGATGTGAGCTTTTTAGCTTTCTCTTGTTGCAAGGAGAGAGTAAGGAGAAAGGAGATAAAATCTGTGCAGGTTAGAAGGGGTTTTAGTAGAGTGGGTGATACTTTATAGACTGAATTAGACTGTGGTTTGGCAATTAGCTTTTTTCTTGTTTTGAATGAATGTATTGTGTTTTGTGCAGGATAGAGATCTAGGAGATGAATATGGTTGGAAACAAGTTCATGGCGATGTTTTCAGGCCATCTAGTCATCCTTTAATATTTTCATCCCTTATTGGTTCTGGCTGCCAAATCTTTGCAGTTTCTTTCATAGTAATCATTGTTGCCATGCTGGAAGATTTATATACAGAGTAAGTATTACTTTCCAGTTATATTAAAAATATATTGGTAAAGTCCAATGGGTCCGTATATCAGCTATTTTTGGAGCACTAGAGTTTTCCAAAGATAGAAAAATAGCTGTACAACCAGAAGATACATAGATAATGCTCATATATTTATTCGACTCAGAGTTTTAACATAAGTAAAATAAAAATTATGGTAATACATATTTTAAATTTAAAATGATGAATTAGATCCTAAACTCTCTTCCTTGAATAGAACATAGTCCATTGAACCAAGCTTCACCCCATAAGACTTATGTACAAACTGCAGGTGGGAAGATAGCACAAATCTAGTAGTGGGACTGTTTCCTATATTTAAGATCATCCCCTCTCCCCTTGAAGATCTGAAGAAACATTCCTCACCACCACCATCTGTTATCATATTATGAGCAAAATCTAAAACAATCCTCCAATATTACCGTAGAAGTAAATTATTGGGAGTAAACCTAAACTTTCTTTCAGGCAAATAAAGAATCTTATTAAAAACTTGGTTCTGTACAGTCAAATCATTTTTCTAGCTATTAACATAAAAACATTTAATATAGTATAACAAATTTCAGAACCATAAATAGCAGTGTTCATGGTGGGGGGCCAGAACAATAGAGCTTCAGTATTACAAAGCAAGCCCTGCCTTTTCTGTACATGTGTCATGACATTTCATGCAGATCATGGCACACATACATTTTACCATTATAAATACAGCAAGCTCCTGGAGACACAAATGAACATTAAACAAAATTAAGATGGAAAGATCAAATAGTATCAAAGCCAAAGATATGACAACATCTCTAGCTTATTTAAATCAGTTTAGATGCCATCCAGCTATAATGGACTTCAATTCCCATTATTCCCAGATATATCGCTATTTGCTGAGGCTATTGGCATTGGTCCACATATAGGCATATTTTTAATGTAAATCATCAAGTTGTTTTCAGGGTAAAAGCATAGAAAATGTTTAATAAATAGAGAAAAATAATGTATGATGATCTTCTAGGTTAGAAAGATTCAAAATTATCCAGGCATTGCAATAGAAAAGACTTTTGATGTGATTTTGTTAAATATTCTTCACAAGGTAACAAATCATAAAATAGTAAATACAGTTCTTAAAGTCAATAGAAGGATATATAATTTTGTGGTCCAAATCATTAAAAGTATTAACAATAGTGCATATTGAATTCTACAAGGTAAACCAAGAAAATCATGATAGTTGATAAAACACCAGTTGTATTATGTACTCCAAAAATTTTTGTACTGGTCAATATCTAATAAAGAGTATTACATTTAGACTGTTATTAGCTCATATTTCAAGAAATATATCTACTAACAAATTAACGATTGTTACTACAAGTTGTAGGATATTTGGAAATTCAGTTACATTTTTGTATTATTCGAATGTGATACCATTAAATGCTTTTCTTTGTGTTTTTGTCTGAATATGGAAAAGCAGTTACTTTTAACATATTAAGAAGCAGCAGTGAAAATACTTTTTTTTTTGTAAAAAAAAAACCTTGATGCTGCTTCTGTGTTTATTTTTATATCCATAAAAGATAAACATTCCCAAGATACGGATATGGATAAAGTATCCACATATATCCAGTCTAGTTGCCTACTGGCCAAATGGTGGACATTTTATTCTTCTTTCTGATATGGGTATTATTCAGAGCACTATAAAGTTATTTTTCCTTTGCTAGATTCCTTTGAGAGACAAATCAGAAAAGCTGCAGGAACAGTACACTCTCAGAGAGATGCTAATAGGGGCAGAAGCAGGGATGGCTTTGAAATAGAGGAGAACAATTAATAAAATATCATTTTTTTCTAGTAAAATTATTTTACTTGCTATTAGCTATATGCTATTTCCTATTCAGACAGAACATAAATTTCTTCTGCCACTCTGTTTTTATTGATATATCTCCCTGGTTGAGTTGGGTGTGCGAAGAACAAGTGTTTCTACTCAGATGTGCTATATATATCCTGTAGTTTGAAAACTGTGGAAAGAAAACTGTAGTGGCATCATAGCATCATAAAGCTTGTATTATTTCTGGGATAACACTAACCATGACAATGATAGCCATCTCTTTTCAACTCAAGAACGAAAGTTTAGCTAAATGAGAATATACACTTTCAATAAGAATTGTTTTGAACAGATATTTTTCATCCTTGCAAGATGGGATGTTTCCCATCTTGTAATGATATCTAATCAAAGATGAGCTGTTGGCATTCTGAGGCAGAAAATTCCTTTCATTATTTTTGTTGTTGTTGTACATTTCCCTCAGTCATTCTTTGAGTGGTATACTAGGTAAAACTAAGCATTCAACGTTATTTTTATACTGTACTTTTATTTTTATTTTTGCAGTCATTTGTGTAGCAAAAAATGTTTTTTATTTTAGGAGGGGATCAATGTTAAGTACTGCTATTTTTGTTTATGCTGCAACATCACCAGTGAACGGCTACTTTGGAGGAAGCCTTTATGCCAGGCAAGGAGGTAAAGCATTTCTTGATTATTGTTCATACTGCAATCTAGCACAAGACAAGGCTACTTCAAGAGTTTTCTTGGTCTATCTACATATGTGTTCATGCTTGAACAATATTTTGCTGATGAAGCAACCAGATGAAAATCTACATGCGTGCAGGGAGAACTTGAAGTCCTGCAGAGTGCATTGAGAAATGCACTATTTGTCTCTCGCCTAATATCCAATGCTGAAAATATTACAGACTAATATTTTTAAAATAAAGTAAACATCAGAAGTGGGATTCAGCAGATTCTGACTAGTTCTGGAGAATCGGTAGCAGAAATTTTGAGTAGTTTGGAGAACCAGCAAATACTACCTTTGACTGGAGATTTTACAGTATCCTTCCCCTGCCACACCCACCAAGCCATGTCCCACAGAACCAGTAGTAAAAAAAATTGAATCCCACCACTGGTAAACATGATTTGAAGTGATTATACTGTGTTCTAAGAAGATGAGTTTATGGCTTTTAGCATGTATTGGTAAGAAACTGATAATAACTGATAGGCTGAAAAGTACTATTAAAAAGAACTGTTTATAATAATGGAAATATATCCGTCTCCTGCTTGGACTTAATATAGATTTTGTCCATTAATTGAGTGTATCTCCACCATATACAGTTCACACTTATTTCTTCCCCTTCCCATTGACTTGATTTTTTGTTTTCCATTATAATGTTTTGGGATTGTATTGCCTCTCTATTCTTAGGTAGGAAGAGCTTTTTTTTTTTACTACGAGTAGCTAAAGAAGAATATTTTACTTTAAATCTTTCTCTTACCTCTCCATACAAAAACCATTGGAAATTAAATACATGTGCAATCAGCTGATCTTTTCGCTTCATCTTACATTAATCTTGTTCTTATTCTAGCAATTCTTGATTCTTTCTTTGTAGTTCTGATTTCATAGTCTGTCTCAAGTGACCTTCATTTTTTTATTTGTCAGTCTCAATGCTGACAATGACTGCATGTATCTTTTTAGCAGTTGTATTGCACCACTAAGTTCATAGTTAGGGAGTTTATCATAAGGACATAGATCCTTTTCACATGTGCAGATGACAATGCAAATCTCTCCCATCTCATTCTTATACTTTTGAATATCATATTTACATGCAAGATTTTATTTGCCTCTTGATTGGTAATAGCATTTCAGTCTGTCAGAATAATATTTTTCTGCTTTTGTTGCCATATATTCGTGTGTGTTATAAAACTGAATACATGATAATGAAAGCAAAAATATACATACATACATACATACATACATACATACTTGCTTAGACGGCCTAGACATTGGTATTTGAATATAGATATTTTTAGCGTTTATATTTTATTGTGTTTTACTAATCTAGGTGAATTCTTAATATATATTCTTAGTCCATATATGATATGCCATACACTAAATCGCATCCCGGACATAAACTGTTTCAACTCCTTCCCTCAAAACGACGCTATAGAGCAGGGGTAGTCAACCTTTTTATACCTACCGCCCACTTTTTAAAAAAAAAACAAGTTTTATTAATTTTTCAGAAACAAACAAATCATCATTAACCATTACATACTTAAACCTTTTTCCATTATAAATTTAACAAGTCAGATAAAACCTATAATTCTATTTTAAACCATTTCCATATAAGCATACAAAAACCTCTTATCCAGTTTCTCTTCACTTCTCTTTACTCTTATTCAATTTCATTATTATTATTTCATCTATTTCTTTCTGACTTGGTTACCATTATTCTCATTCTATATTTCTGCAAGGTTTTATTAATTCTCCCAGAAACATAAACACACAACACACAATACATAAAAAAAAAAAAGATCTTTTAGGAAAGTAACTTGGCCCCAGGTATTTCTCTCTTCATGGACTTCAGTTGTATTCATGCTCATCTTACATGTCATTACTTATTTTATTTACCATTCTAAGTCTTCTATATTAGCTTCTCCACACATTTCACTCTTCTTAATTCTATCTTAATTAATCCATCTTAATTTGAGTCATTATATTTGTATCTTTTGTCCATTCTTTATTGTCCCTTTGTCTCGTTCCTTATAATAAAAAAAGAATTTCTCCTGAAATCACTAATCAGAGTATGATGCCTTTCTATCTCCCCCCTAAATTAATCAAATTAACATTTAAAATAACACCCAATACCCAATCCGATTCTGCTTGGTACGTTCTATCTAAATAGTAAATCCAAAATAATTAAATACCTAGTTAAGCAGTAGATCTAAATATTGAATCTTATAACATTCCCATTGCCTTTTCCAAAAACAAATGCTATAATAAAAATTTTATAATAACATCAATACCATAATCTTATTAAACTCTTTAATTAAAACTCAATATTCTAAACCTTCCCTTTAATATTGTTAAATTTTAAAATCAATCATTACTAAACATTTCAACATTTTGATCTCTTATCAACTCTTAAACCATTTTAGTTTTCTATTTCTAATACAATGCTACGATATCATCTTGTGTACCTTGCAAAATCTTTTTTGAAGAATTTATACTTTACCCTTTATCCCTAAAAAAGATTCCTTTTTTCCCATCTAGTTTCAAAACTTTGTGGCTTTTCTCCACCTTTTTCCTTCCTTTCTTCCCCCACCAAACCTTTCTACCCCCCTTTCTTCTAGCCTCTGCCTTACTGGCTTCCCTTCTCTGTTGTGTTCCTTTTTCCTTTTGTTTACTATCATTATATTGATTTTGCACCTTATTTTTCCCCTTCTTAAGTGTTTTTTTAAATCTTAAGTCCTTCATTTCTCTTCCTTTCCCTCTTCCTTCTTTCTTGGTTAAATTCTGAAATTCATTAAAAATGGCTTCTTCCTCTCCTTCTTCTTCTTCTGCTGTCTTCATCTGTTGTAATGTTTGTTGATAGTTAGCAAGCGCCATTTCTAAGAAAAGGAAGGCTTCTTTCAAACCATCTTTACCATCTTTTTTTGTTTGCTCATATTCTTTTCTCAGTTCCTCAACAGAAAAAGCCATTATAAATCTTTTCTTTTCTTTTCTTTTCCCCTTCTTTCTTCTTGCAGCAACCAAGATATTTAAAAAAAAAATAAAACAGTCCCAAAGTTATCAATCAGTCCAAGCCAAGGCAAAGTTCTCACTTTCTCTTCCTGGGGTAGTATCAATCAGAAAAAAAGAAAGTCCAAATCTGTTTCTTAAAGTCTTATTGCAATATATTTCAGTCTTCAAATCCTTAAGGCATCTCCTCCAAAAAAGTCTTAGCATACAAATATTTTTTTAGTCCTCTCCCTTCTCACTTATCACTTAAAGCCAGTTTTTACCTAAAAAAAATAAGTTTCTTAATATCCACTTATTAATTCCGTAGGGAAGGAGAGTAAACTTTCCTTTCAGCACCACCAAATTGCCGCTTATTTTCTCTTCTAGAAGGTATCATTCAGAAAGCCATAATTTCCAGGAATTTTGTTAAATATATCTCAGTCCCGGGAACCAAAAAAACTTTCTCTTTTCAAAAGCTTTCTCCACTTCCTCCTGCGCATTCTTACCCGGCTGCCAGCTTCTTTGTGGCGGCCATTACGGACCACCGCTGCACCGTCTTGGGAAAAGGGGGTTCTGCCGGCTGGGAAGGGGGTCTGCAACACCCCCAAACCTCACTCCGGATCCCCCTTATCTTCAGCCACCCCTGCAGGGTAGCCTTAGCTCTGAACCCGTCCGGATCGGAGCACCAAAAGCGGCTAGCGCAGCAGGGATCGCGCTGTATCGCGAATCCCTGCCGCTCGCGAAGCCGACAAACCGGAAGTCCCTACCGCCCACTTTTGTATCTCTGTTAGTAGTAAAATTTTCTCTAACCGCCCACCGGTTCCACAGTAATGGTGATTTATAAAGTAGGGGACAAAACCCCTACCGCCCACCATGAAAGGTGGAACTCCCACTAGTGGGGCGGTAGGGACCAGGTTGACTACCACTGCTATAGAGCATTGCACACCAGAACAATTAGACACAAGAACAGTTTTTTCCCGAAAGCCATCACTCTGCTAAACAAATAATTCCTTCAACCCTGTTCAACTATTACAAAGTCTGCACTACTATAACTGTTAAATCTTGTCATCATTCCTTATCACCCATCCCCTCCCACTTGTGACAGTATGACTGTAACTTTTTCGCTTGTATACTTACGATTTATATTAACTGTTTCCTAGTATGATTGATTGCTTATTGTACCCTATGACTATCATTAAGTGTTGTACCTTATGATTCTTGACTCCTGATTAATGTATCTTTTCTTTTATGTATACTGAGAGTATTTACACCAAGACAAATTCCTTGTGTGTTCACTTGGCCAATAAAGAATTCTATTCTATTCTATTCTATTCTATTCTATTCTATTCTATTCTATTCTAAATAAATAAATACATTTTCTGCTCTCTGTGGTAATACTCTCCAGCTTAGGTTTTTGTTACCTGACCTTCAACCTTTTATACCTTTGTCCTTGTCATGTATAAATGTGCTGAACAACAAAGAACAGAGGAAAGAGTTCTTTCAAGATCTTATTATAGGCCATCAGAGAGGAATTATTCTGCATTCACTGATTCTTGTGGTTAAATCAACTATAAATCCTTGCGACAATAGTATGGTGCAGATATTACTATTTATTTATAATGTTATTAGTATTTTTTCTTCATTTTTCTTTTCTTTTTTCTTTTTAAATAAATAGTGGAGACTTTCGTACTCAGTTCAGAGATTCACATCCATTCTCAGATTTTTAAGACAATTCATGTATTTCAAACCATTTTCTTACCCTTTTGCAGCTACATAGTATGTGGCGCACAATAAATACTTTTGGTTATAGTTATTTAAAATTGAGGAAGGAAATTGGCTCAGTGTAATTAATATAACATTAATGAAGGCAGATATACGTGTTCCAGGACGATGTTGCAGGTTCCAATCTAGGTCAGTCACCTACTTGCCCACCAGTTCTCAGTAGCTGCAAAATTGAATGTAAGTCCTTGTTCATTGAAATGTGAGGCTACTAATGAGTAGCTGCTGGCACAATGTTGTGCCAATGGCTGGCACAATGCTTACATTTTCTGATCCCACCCTCAAACAGCATGGTCACATCATCCATACACTTTTTGACAAAACTACAAGGCTTAAATGGGGCTCCTGGTGGGATCATATTCTCCTTTGACATAGTGTCCCTAATTCCATCCTCCCTCCCTCCCTCCCCACCTAGCATCCTAAGTAATAGACAGAAAACTAGAAAAGTACAACACAGATCAAAACAACCTAACCAGGTCACAAATCATGAAGCTATTCCAGTATTGTCAACATATCTTCTTTATGTTCAAAAGGTAAAATGTATTAGCAAATAAGAGACCCCCATGGCATCCCCAATATCAAGGGTCATGGCAGAAACTGTCTTGCACGAACTAGAACATTTGATTTTAAAAGAGTTGCATCAAAACACTATTTGGCAGGGTGAGAAACCACTGTATACCCAGCAAGCTAAACAACTGGAGAGCAGATACCTAATGAACAATTCAGGCAAGAATGGCTATCTACAAGCTTGTATTATGTTGTTTGCGGAACACGCAGGAGAAAGGAAAGAAGAAAGAAAGTACAAGACCACCCTGCCACAAATCAACATTTTAGAAACAGTAGAATGCAGCTTCCAAGATCTGTAAATGGGCATCGTGCACTGCCCAGAGGCTATTATACAAGGACAAATCATGCATTGTAACGATTGCTTGGAGGTGGGAGATACTTCTGTAATCTACCTCTGTATTGATTATTCCTGTGACTATGTAGGACAGATGGGGAGGAAGCTAACCACCAGACTGTAAGAACACAAGTGATCAGATGAGGAAATCTGAACTCATTGGTAGCCTCACATTTCAATGAACAAGGACATGCATTCAATGTCACTGTTACAAGATTGTTGGCCGAGCAGGTACCAAGATAACCAGGGAAATGATTGAAACCTGGGAAACAGGCCCCTTGTCAATCAACAAGAGTGCTGATTTACCACCATCTTCTCAAGTACTTGTGGGCCAAGGACTTCGCAGTACAAGAAAACAGCAGCCAACGACTTGATGGCCGGCCATCAGTATCCCAATCAATAGCTAGAGGGCCACAAAAAAAGAGGCATCAAATAAATGCTAAGCATGGAATAGCCCAAAGCACACATTCTGGTAGAGAAAAGTTCCCTGAGGATGGGCTCCAGCACGAGTCCAAAAGCTCGGAAGACTTAAGCTCTTAGTCCTGGTGACAAACTTAGATTGGATCCGTGACCTTACTTTCTATGGATGTAACTCATTGCTGGCATTCTTGCTTGCAAGGTCCTGTTATATGAGAATAAGATAGTCACGTGCGGCTAATTTTCTGTGGGATTGGAATTTTCAGTATCACCCTAGATGGGAATTTATAAGTTCCCCGATAATTCCTGGGAGAGTTATCTTCAGATCCTGTTTCCAAGAGGAAAAACATTTCAACAAGAGAGGAGGAAGATAATATACATTAATTTCTTCACTAAAATTAGTTTCATAGAGTAATAGATCTTAGAAAATTGAAGTTTCATGATTTATAACAAATTAAGTTTCCTGTATTGTCCAAATTTAAGAAGAAATGATAAATATCTTTAGAATATATGTTTTCTAATGACACATAAAAAGATGTTTCAGGGCCTTAAACTGCATTTATTTGCAAGATTTGTGAAAATATTATATTGAGTTGTAGCCTTATTTTAGGTCCACAAGAGAAAAGTGGTACTGAGAGCTCATCATCATTTCTAGTCTAAATAGTGTTACAATGCCAGTTAAGTTATGTCCTACTACTGAATTTTAAGGTTCATAATCATAACCCTGAGTTATATATGCATGTAATGTTTTGATTGCCAGGAAGAAGATGGATAAAGCAAATGTTCATTGGAGCATTCCTTATTCCTGCAATGGTGTGTGGCACAGCCTTCTTCATTAATTTTATTGCCATTTATTATCATGCATCAAGAGCTATTCCTTTTGGGACAATGGTGAGTAATTTGCAGAATCTACATCTGCCAAGAAGTAGAGATTCCATCTGTAGGATAAAGGTGGAGGACTGAAATTCACATAGCTACTAGGGATATTCTGCCAATCAACTAGGCTGCCAATCAACAGGTTCTTATGGAGTGAGTGGGAATGTAGAGGGAGGGGCATTGCTGTTCATCCAACTCATAGCAAAGCTTGAAGGTTGCTACTGTCAACTTGAAACAACATTTAGCCTATCTATTTTGAATAACAATATGTTTTCTTATGATTAATTGCTGTTAAAATAATGGTTGATTTTATTTTAATGAATATATTTTATATCTCTTCTTATTTGATTTAACAGGTAGCTGTTTGTTGCATCTGCTTTTTTGTTATTCTTCCTTTAAATCTTGTTGGAACAATACTTGGACGAAATCTTTCCGGTCAGCCCAACTTTCCTTGCCGAGTAAATGCTGTTCCTCGTCCAATCCCAGAAAAAAAATGGTAAAGTTTAAATTTGTCTGTGTTCATGTATCTGATAAAGTATGTTACCCTACTTTAGAGGCTAGTTGGTCTTTATGGGGATTTCTGGATAATTATCTAAGCATAAGATGATGGCATCTAATAGGAGAAAGGATGCATTGATCTCTTTCTTGAATAGATTGCAGGGGCTAGATCAGAGGTGGTATTCAGCAGGTTCTGACCAGTTCTGGAGAACCAGTAGCAGAAATTTTGAGTAGTTCGGAGAACCAGAAAATACCACCTCTGACTGGCCCCGCCCCCATCTATTCTCTGCCTCAGCTGATTGGCTGGGTCTTCTTTTGTTGCCCTGCACAGGAGCTGGAAAGCAGGTTAGTGGGGTGGGAATGGAGATTTTACAGTAACTTCCCCTGCCATGCTCACCAGGCCACGCCCATCAAGCCATGCCACGCCCACCAAACCGGTAGCAAAAAAATTTGAATCCCACCACTGGGCTAGATGCCTTCATCCATTGGCAAAACATAACTAACATTGCACAATATATTGTGCAATATTACACAAACTAATATTGCAACTGTTTTGTAATTAATCTTAGAGCTGACAGACCTGTGGCTCTCACAGGCTGAGTTTTATTAAAGAATTCAAAATATTTTAGATTTTTACATGTAGTGCATTTTAAAAATCAATGGTGTTTTTCTGTTGATTTCAGTGAGATCAGTAGGAATATTCTGTTAAAGTGACTTTTTCCCATTGACCTTGGTTAAATGAGAAATTTAGTTCTTTTTTTCCAGGTTTATGGAACCAGCTGTTATTGTTTGCCTTGGTGGTATTCTCCCTTTTGGATCAATTTTCATTGAAATGTAAGTTTTTTTTTTTTATAAAAACAACTTGCCAGTAAAATTAAATATCAGATTAACTAGAGGTATATATTTGAAATATACTTATTTTCTCTTTAGGTATTTTATTTTCACCTCCTTCTGGGCTTACAAAATCTATTACGTCTATGGCTTCATGATGTTAGTTTTGGTCATCCTTTGCATTGTAACTGTTTGTGTGACAATTGTGTGTACATACTTTTTATTGAATGCAGAGGACTATCGGTGGTAAGTACAATATGTTTATTCAATTTTAACCATTAAAAAGCAAGACTGAACATGGGTCTCTTTTAGGTTGTAAAAGAAACTGAACAAAACATGAAAGAGTTTTTTATATTTGTAAAATATTTATCTTTACTTTTTTATGAAACTCAGAATAGTTAATTAAAATTGAATAATTATGTGTTACAAATTTTGTCATGGAACATTTTATGTTATTGGTCAAAATATTATATTCTTGATTTATGTTTTTTAGGCAATGGACGAGTTTTCTTTCTGCTGCTTCAACTGCAATCTATGTTTATATGTATTCCTTTTATTATTACTTTTTCAAGACAAAGTACGTAATTTTACATTTTACATCTATCTTAAAACAACACAATTACAACTTTGTAACTATTCTTAATTTCGGGAGTGTTAAAATTTGTTTTATCTTCTGTTTTTTTCTCCAGGATGTATGGTTTGTTTCAGACATCTTTTTACTTTGGCTATATGGCAGTATTTAGCACAGCCCTAGGAATAATGTGTGGTAAGATCACAATGGTTTCAGAATTTTTAGTTCTCAAATTTTATCCTTTTAAACTACTTAATATATTTTTTGCAAATATATTCTTAGTTTTCTGAATATATTAAAGAATTGTCAGCTATAAAATTATTTGATTTCAATAGCTATATGATTACATAAGTAATAGCCAGTTATATATATCTTTATAGGAATTCATTTTTACACATAAGGTTTAAAGTGGAAGCATATAACATGCTTAGGATAACACAGGTCTTTGAGTGATAAGAATGCTCTCAAAAATAGTCAAGGCCAAGGCCAGAAATGAAATGAATTATTAGATTTAGAATTAATTGCATATAAATTAAGGCATCCCAACTGCAAAACCAATTGACCTCTCAACTGCAAGCTTAAACACTTTCTTATACAATTATTACCTAGTCACAGATATTTCTTTCTATCTTCTTTCAGCTTTCCTTAGAAATATCTCTGTATGTGTGTAACTTCACATAGTAACTTATTTGTAGAAAGATAAACAGGAAGATCAGGCAAGAGGAAATAAGTGTTGGAATGTAAATGGAAGGTGGGGGAAGAGGGAAAAAAAGGCAATTAAGCTTTATCACCCTGTTCTGTTCCCCAGTTCAATGAGCAAAAATAAATCAGAAGAGGTCAGAAAGTAGAAGGGAAAAAATGAGGTAGACAAGGTAAGAGAAAAATGAAAGAAGCCATTAAAAAAACTATGTACGATCTCTGGGAGCTGGAAGTATCTGAACTGATTGCTTCATGAACTAAAATTTCCCAAATGATTTTTCCTTTGCTTTGGTTTCCATAGACACTTGGTATAGGCTACATAACATGACTTTGCTGAGCAAAACACTGGCAGATCTTTTTCCCCCTTGTTGAGCCCTGAGCTTTTTCTGAAAATACAGAAGCAAACAATGTGGTAGTTCAAAAAGAGTATATCAGTGGTGGGATTCAAATAATTTAACAACCGGTTCTCTGCCCTAATGACTGGCTGGGAGGGCATGACCAAAGTGGTCATGTGACTGGGTAGGCATGGCCAAAGTGGGCATGGTGGGGGTGGCAGCACGTGGCCAGCTCAACATCGCTCGTGTTGGGAGGGCACCTGTGGTGGTCCTGGCAGGTCTGGGGGGGATCCATTGTCTCCAGCAGAGGAAGGTGGGACTAGGTGAGAGCCAAACACTTGTCCTTCAGAGGAGCCTCGCCGTCCCTCTCAGGCCATGAAAAGGACCCCCGGCAGCAGCGCAGGCTGCCCAGAGCCCTGGGTAGTGGAGGGCAAGAGTCCAGCCTGGCTCTCAAGCTCTCAGGGCACGGGGACCCTACAGCTCAGGTTGCTGCTGCTGTGCTCACTCTTCTTGGACATGTTGCTCATGGTATATGCAGGAGGGCAAAGTCTGTGGGTCAGAGAGGAGTCCGCTCCCTCCCCATGTGAGGAGACCTGGCTTTGTAATCAAAGCATCCTCAGCAATAGGATGGGAGATCACCAGGAGAGGAAAACTGTCAAAATGTTGCCTTTGATATTTGTTTGGAGTTCCTCTGTTTTTTATGTACAACAGCTTTAGCGTTTAGGAACAGAGGTAAGTTAGTTGCTTTTCTATAATATATAATTCTTAAAAGGGCTCTCCTGTAGGGAACCTGCCATGATCTAATTCAGACTGGAAATATAGCAAAGGAAAATATTTCCCCCACTCTGCTTTGTCCTATTTTCTCCACTGGAAATAGGTATTTGCAACACACAAGGAGGGGATACATTCTGAAGAGCTCAGAATTCAAGAATACCAATGTTAACTTGGATTGCCAACAAAGTTCTGTCTGTGAAAAACAGAATACAACGTTGCTTTCTCCTTTTAACTGGGGCATCTCCAACCAAGTTGTCTTTCCTTCATTCCTTCCTTCTGTCCGTCCCTCTGTCCCTCCCTTGTTTCCTTTTTTAAGCTGCCAGAGGCTCCCAACAGAGACTTCCCATTTTGACCCCTTTCCCATTGTGGTTTCAGCATGGTTTTTAGCTCACATCTCCCAGACTTGTGCATGTGTATGTTTGTTTCTGTGTGTGTGCCCCTTGCAGCCTGGCACTGTGACATTGGAGAGGAAAAGATTGGGAGAGGCTGCGCTGGGAGGGTTGAGAAAAACAACCATTGCAAAAATAGAGCTTTCATTAGCTTGCAGCCTATAATGAGCTTGCAGGCTGAACAGAGTGTAACACCTCCCCCTGCCCACGCATGCACACACACAGACACTCAAACTAATTTCTGTGATGGTAGGCTGC